GTATTTCTTGTGCTTTAGACCTAAATATTCTTTTTAGAATGTATTTTTAGTCTTCCACATTATCTCTCTTCTAGATATTTTATAGTAGTTATGCCTGAAACTTTATATAAATATATTAGAGACTGTGCTCATGCTTAAATGAATTGTCATTGAGGGATTAATCCTGTAACCTTTATAAGCATGTTTTATTAATAACATCTTATCATTGAATTGAATATTAATAATATTTAACATTTAATAACTATAGAATGTGTATGTAGGAATATATTTTGTGCCAGTGGATTTTGAATATGTGGAAAAGTCACTATAATAGCCCAAAAATCATTAAACATGCTCCCCATAATATATTAATTGCATTGGCACAGCTCATTTAATGGGCAGTTCTGGATAACAAAGATTATAATATTTTTGTTTGTCAGCATGCTGAGCAATATGCCTTCAAGAAATGGAAGTATTTGGTACAGTGTTTGAAAATATCTACTGCACTCTTAAATTCTGGAAATATATTTACCATGAAATGATTTATAATTAAACATGAAACTGATAAAGTGGAGAAAGAGAATTCAAAACTATGAATATTATGAAAGGTGACTAAATATGTTTATTATATTAATTTAGTTATTCTTATTGGTAAAGCAGTATAAGTTATCTACAAAAGAGTAATTTTTAAATGATTGAATAATTAAAATATATTTTAAACTATTTTTATCCTCAAAATACTTTAATTATTAAACCATTTTTTATCATATATATTTGTTTGTTTGTTTAAATGGTTCAGTATGAATTTAAATGTGTTTGATAGGTATCCTGACACTAAAAACGCACTCCTTTTCTTTTAAAATAGAAATTAAGAAAGATTATGTTAACATGAAAAAGGTAACTTTTGTGTAGGTTCTGTCATGTAGGAGAATATGTGGGACTATCTGAGGCAGTTTCATCTCCATTTGGGAAAATTTCTTGGTTGTATCAAGTTTCCTCTATATTATTTGGTTTCTTTTATTTTTTCCTCCTTTAATAATATAAATCTAATAAAAGTAATGTTTGGGGAAACTTTCATTAGATGTTTTGCTAATTCTCATTATTTTGTTTAAGTCATTTTGATATAGTCAAAACAACTTAACTTTTACATGTAAAAAAACATGTATACATATGTATACGTGCATGCACGTATAATTGCTTATATGATTACTTGAGTGTGGTTTAATGGCTTCTTCTGAAAATCTCTTTACTTTTATGAATACTGTGGGAATAGGAGAAGGGAAATCTCTATTTTAAAGAGTGCTCTATTTCTGGAACTAGATCCAAATTCTCATAGTACACTCACGATCAGAGCTTTGCGCACAACCCACTTCCCACTCCATTTGGAAGATGTTTTTCTTCTTCTCATATCCAGAGAGTATGTTTCTTAATACTAATGATAAATAAATGACAAGCAATAGGATATATTGGAGTATATGAGGAAGCCATTTGGTGTAAAACTAATTTGGCCTGACCTTGTTTTTCCAAAAGGGTCTGATGTGGCCTGTTGAGCATGCATTGTATATCTGCTTTAAATATTTACTGTGTCCCAAAGACAAGAACAATGCCCTTAAAGATAAGGATGTAACTTTCCCCACTTCAGCATTTCTTTAAGGATAAGCATCTCTCCCTAAACTAAGGATTAATTGCTGACCTTCTGCTCTCCCCTTTTGACCACTGACCTCCTGTGTTCACTGAATTGCTGTGCTGCCAAAGCAATCTCTCGTGACTATTGTAAAAGGGACATTCCTATCATATGTGGTGCGTGCTCTTTCACGGTATATAACCACTCTCTACATCCCACTTCTTTGGAGTGCTCCATTCCTTTGTGAAAGGACTCTCCCGGGCTATATGTTCCTCAGGGTTGGCTCATAATGAACTCACCCCAATTTTGATTTATAGATTGGTTATGGATTATTTGTGTTGACACTAAGATTATACCTGAATTTGAGTGTTTAGATCTAGAGAATATCTTTCTTGCACTACTCTGTTTAATTCATACAATGCTGAGTTTACTCATAGGCACAAAGATCAGCATATTGGATTATTAGGGATAGTTCCCATTTCAAATCATCTGTTTTGAAAAATCATTGAAATAACCTCTGAATTTAAGGATCTTCTACCCCATTGCCACTGACTCCAATGTATTCCAATGTACTCATAGTCAACTGAAATTTTTCTCCAAAGACATGAAATCTGTTATTCTTAAATTAGTTAATGCTTAAAGTGCAAAATAACCTGAATTGATATAATTTACACTGACATTATTGAGAGTCTACTAAGTTTCCATCACTAAACTAAGCCTGATAAAAATTTAAGTAAATTAAATCACCATGATTGAAGACCTCCTATGTTCACAACACTAAATTAGACCTGATAAAGAAGTACCATATTTCTCAACCCTGACATGTAAAGCAATGATATCACAACATATCCTTGAATGGATAGGGATCAGGATTCTACAACAGAGAAAAAAAGACATTGAAAAGATAAAGACTTTTCTTCTCCATCTTTAGAGATGGAGATCATCAGAAACCAGTGTATATATAAGGGAAAGAGATGACTTGCAGGTTCTGGCATGAGTGATGAGGTGGATTTCAGTGTCCATTCACCACCACAGAGCACAGAGTGGGAAGGACAGGAGAGGCTGAGGTTGATTAGATAGGTAACCATGATCTAGAACTCTATATAAAACTGAGATTAGCACTAGGGAAAAATAGGAATTGATTAAATTTTGTACTGTGGCCCTCACTCCATCTTCTCACGCTTAACTGTCACTGTGTAACTCACATGTTTGTCACCTTTCATCTGAACTAAGTGTTTCTCCCGGCTTTATATTACAACCAAAGTGATTATTCCAAAATAAAATCTAATAACCTTTCTCTCTTGCTTAAAACCTTTTACTAGTTTCCAATTGTCCATAAGGGAAAGTGTCATCTCCTTAGCTTGGTGTGAAAAGCCCTATGTGATGGCATGGCTTGCTCTCCCAGCCCTTCCATTCTAGCTGCCCACTCTGGCCTTGCAGTGTGTTCACACAGAAATGCTGGCCTTGATCCACAGAGAACACCAAGCTGTTTTATAAATTTATACCTTTGCATGTGCTATTCCTCCTGCATAGGGTGCTGTCTCTGCTTTCTAGCTTGTTTCCTTTCCTAAAACTTTGTAACTGGTAATTCCCATCATCCTTCAAAATGAAATTTAAATAGTTTCCATTATGAACTTTTTTTTGGACTTTCCCTGTGGCAATCCTTCATCTGCTATCACTAGACCTTACATTTCTGGTACGACAATTAGACAACTGTCTTTTAATTATTTACATCTGCCTTTCTTATTAGAGCATGGAATTTCAGCTGTTTCAGCTAGTTTGAATTGGGAATAAGTCAAATGATGCAATAATCCATAGTCTTCTGACAAAATGCATCTCTTTCTATCTATCAATGAAGAAAAGGAACCGCTTGAGACTTGCCCAAGGGCAAATTCCTCTTTCTCAGAAATTTGGATGAATTTCAGGGCACCGTCTTATTACACACTCCACATTTATGAGAAGGTGGTATTCTAAATGTCAAATATACACAAAAGAGGAGAAAATAGTATAATGAATTGTATTATCCAGTTTCAACAATTATTAACGATCTTTTTCCACCTATACCGTCCACAGCTCTACTCTCCTGTTTCCTCTTAAATATTTTGAAGCAAAAGCCAGACATGATAACCTTTCATTTGAAAATATTACTGTATGTATTTCCAGAAGATAAGGATACTTTTTGAAAACATACTGATGATACCATTATCACCTAAAATATTAACAATTCCCTAATATTAACAAATTTTCAGTTAGGATTAAATTTTGCACTACTTCTCATTTTTAAACAGTTTGTTTCAATAAAGACCTAGTAAAGTCTATACTTTGTGACTAGTTGATATGTGTCTTTTAATCTAAAGCAGTAGTTCTCAATTAGGGGTAATTTTGCCCTTTAAGGGACAATTTTGACAGTCTGGAGACATTTTTGGTCTTCACAACTGCTATGGAATGAATGTTTGTGTCCTCCCAAAATATGTATGTTAAAACCTTAACCCTAATGTGATGGTATTTAGAGGTGGGGCCTTTGGGAAGTAATTAAGATTAGATTTGGTCAGGCAGGTGGGCTCTCATGGTGAGACTAAAGCTCCTATCAAAGAGGAGAAGACACAGGACCTCTCTCTCTGTGTGCATGCACCAAGGAAGGCAGTGTGAGAATATAACCAGGCAGAGGCTTCTCACCAAGAACCTGACCATGCTGGCACGCTGATCTCGGACTTCCGGTCTTCAGGACTGTAGAAATAAACATTTGTTGTTTAAGCCACCCTGTCAACGGTATTCTGTTATACTACAACTAAAGGAGGGGAGCTCCTGGTATCTAGTGGGTAGAGGCTAGGGATATTACTAAGCTTCCATCAGTGCACGGGACAGCTGCCACAATAAAGAATAATCCAGCCTCAAATGTCAATAGTGTAAGGTTGAGAAACCCTGGTCTAGAGCTTCCTCCTTCACCTATTTTTATTGCAATTTATTTGTTGAATAAACTGGGTCATTTGTCCTATAGAGTTTCCCACAGTCTATTTTGCTGATGACACACTGTGGTATCATTTAACTTATTTCTCTGTCCCTCATATTTATTAGCAATTAGATTTAGAAGCTTCATCAGATTCAGATTCAATTTTTTTTTTAAGCAAAACTACTTTATTCTATTTCATAGATAGTACTGTGTACTTCCGTCAGGAGGCACACAGTGTCTGATTCTCTCTTTCATCACTATGGGACACTTTTGATGATCAATGTCCACATCCATTAATTCATTAGAGATTGAAAAATGATACTGTGTTTTTAAATTTCTTCTTTATTTATTGCAAACATCACTGTTTCTTGGAAATATTCATTACAATGTTTGATGTGAAAATAGCATTGTGTATAAAACATTTATGCATTTCGTATTTCTTTTTAGAAATATCCTATACCACCTTGATGAGAAGAAAAGCCAGTTTTCAATACTCCTGGAGGCTTCGGAACACTGCAAGTCACTTCCATCAAATGAGACCCTTCAAGAAGTCCTGTCAGAGGTGTTGAACAGCATTAATTCAGCTCAGGTTTACTTCAAAGCAGGACTTGATGTGTTCGAGAGTGTCTTGGTTGGAAAGAACTGAGACAACTCTCAACATTTTAAAAAGTTTGTTTACAATTCCTTAAGCAAAAGCTCTAATATAACCAGATTTTCTGAGATTGAAGACTCCCCCCCCATGGCTTTTTATACAAGTCTAAAGCTATTATTACATTGTATTTTTTAATGTACATATGAAAAGAGCATTTTGCACATTTAATATTTTTCTTATATATAATTTCTGAATATGTAAAAGCAAGTTATTGAAATAATACTTAAGATTTATCTATTAAAAAGAAATCTGCTGTATTTTTATATATATAAAATATTTTGGGGGAAAAGTTCCAAGAATTTCTGGACAATCTTCACTCCTATGGATAAAACACATAGGAACAGAAGTTATTCCCTGTGTTAGAGCTGTTAATGACCTAATTTCTGTAATGGAAATGGAGAGTTAATGTGGTTTCAGATTAACTTCACTATTAAGTATTCAATATGAAGAATTCAAGTATTCTGACCAAGTGATTGGTTGACCAAAACCACTTTGAATGTTTCTATTTTACGAAATGAAGTGCCTGTTCGTAACACAACTAGATGTAGTAATACACTGGTTCTGAAATTGTTTTTTTTTTTTTTTAAGTGTTAATGAAAAAAAGAGCCATAAACATTCCAGGGGAAAATCTCCAGGTAGCTGCACAGAGCAATTTAAATGCAAATTTTTTCCTAACAACTTATAAGGTGACTAGCTTTGAAACCTCTAATTTGCCTCAGTTGATTTTGTAAAAAATTCAGGAGTGATGTATGTCTTATGAGGGACAAAATATTTCTTATTTCTTCTTCTGTTGTTTCTGTTGGAAGCACTGAAACCTAACTACTCGAAATGAAAGCATCTCACATTCCTCTTCCTTCTTGTATCTTTTCTGAAACTCGTTGCTGTAAGGCAGTTTTCACAGAATACCATATAATTTCCACAGGAAAGTAACAAAGTTTCTTTTTGAAAACCCAAATATCTTTAAAAGCATCAAATTGCTGTTTCTGCCACTGACAAAAAGGACTTACTATGAAAGAAACAGTTGTTTTGATCAATAAAAATTTCCTTAATTCTGTGAAGAAACTTTTGATATTTTTTCCTTCTTTATCCTTGATTGTAATGAAGTTGAAAACATAGAAAATATTCATGCAGAATTTTGTGCAGAAAATACAGTGTTGCTATAAGACTGTGTCTTTCCCATGCTTCAATTCCTCTCTTGTGGGAAATGAAGTTTTTCATAACGATATTGTCATTGAATGGCCCTAGCATCCACTATTCCCTACAACCCTAGAACTCTATTAGGTGATAGTTTAAACTTTTAGCTTACCTTTAGAAACATTCTTCTGGTATTGAATAAAGCAATTCCTCTCAGGAAACATATCTTCAGACTATTTCATGTGAATTTTCTCTACCTAACACAACATGCAAATGCATTTCCCCATTATACACCACTAAAGCAACATTACAGACAGTGCCTGTATGTCTAAGAAAGTCTTCACTTTTTATGGATGAGCATAAACCTAATCTTAGTTTAAAGGAAAGCTAAAGTTGAGGGGAAAGAATTAATCAGTATTGATTAATTGATTTATAAGGGTCAGCTGTTCCTACCATAAGTAATGTTTATACGCTCAAGGCAAAGAAGAGAATTGAGGCAATTAGCTAGATAATTCAAGCAGAAATCCATTTTCATCTGAATTGCCTGTGTGCACATATTTTTACATGAGAAATGAAACTACCTTACAATTTTTTTTTAAACCAATGTACTTGTTTGAAAATATTTGCACGTTGAGGAGCGTCTACAGGAAAGAACTAAAGGGACCAGGTTCCTGTGCACCTCAACGTCAGTGCCCTCTGTTGCTCCACAGAAATCAACAACAGAAAAGAGGTGGGAACACAAGTGAGGCACGAATCATAGAATGCTTTATACCAAAGGATCTTAAATATTTAATCAAGCTTCAATGTGTTCATTCTAGTTCTTCATTTGGAGTTGAATTTAAAACAAACAAAAACAAGTAATTATAAGTTTGGTAGTTTATCATCTTAGAGCAAAATCCTAAGTAAATTCACTCTCTTAGTCTGTAAGAGCATTGAGAGCACAAAATATATTTGTACTTTTTGTTCAAAGGTTGTGTACCTAGGTAAACCACATTGCACAGATGAAAATCTCAATATTATGTATTCTTCACATCTAAATTAACATGCTATTTGAAAACTGAAGTTAACCATGGACTAACATGTTTTTATTAGTCTATTTAAGAGATTATGTGAAGAAGCTAAATTATAGTTCAAACAGATGTCCACCAATTCTATAGATGCTGCTTTATATCTTTGACTGCAACAAACCCCTTAACTAGGAATATTACTGCTATGGTATGGGTTCCTCCAAATTTATATTATTTTATTATATATTAATTATATATATATAATATCTTATTATTATATTATTTTAATTTTTTCCCCAATAGATCCAAGTAAATAAAATTCTATGCAAGTTAATAACAAGTGTTTTTGGTGAATTGGTAGTAGGTTTAAATTGTTACTGAGACATCTGGGTGCCTGGTACTTCTCATACTCCTTCATACATGGAATTGTGCCAGGACACAGTGAATCATAAATGGTTATTCTCCCAAGAAAACGTGGCAAATGTGCACCCCTGAAATTTGGGTTCAGGAAGGGTACACTGCCCTTTGTGGAAAAGCATAGATTCTGGAGTCAAAAGGAAGCCTGAGACATTCCAGTCTAAGCTCTCAGCTGTTACCTTCAGCCAGGGAAAGCATCATCACCCTCATCGGATGCAGTAACTGAAGCCAAAGAGATTAAGGAACTTGGATATAGTCACATATTTACTTAGTAGCAAAAGCTCTCCTGGAATTTAAGCTTCTCTGCTTTTTCATGCAATATATCCAGCTCTCTCCCTGAGGTGCTAGGGTTATAAATGATCTTTTCCAGGGCATTCTATGTAACCAGTCGTTCTATCAGATGCTGTACGGGCTGGAATCACTGCTTTTGATTAAGGACTAGCTGGGTCTCTGACTATACCTGACCAACAACTGTCCCAGGGAATCCAGGCAAGAACACAAAGACTGGGTCCTTGGGGGGACGGGGAGAGTCTCTACATGGCACCAGAAGTCAGGAAGGAGGGCATTGAGTAAAGTGCTTTTATGCGAGGACATTTTAGCTCTATATTAAATCAGTGTTTCTCAAAATGTGTATTTGGGGGAGTGAGGTCTAGGAAACTTCGTCTTCAGTAAAATTTCCCAGATGATCCTTAAGCACACTGAAGTTTAAGAATTTCTAATCTATGTTAGTCCTGGGTCCCGAGAAAACATTATTTGGCGATGCATCTAAATAAATTGAAGAGTCACAATAAAAAGAGGTACCTAAAGCTTTGCTATTAATGGCACCATTTAAAAAAAAAGAGACTAATCATTGTATCTCTCAAAAAAAGGATGCATGGGGGGCCGGCCTGGTGGCATAGCGGTCTAGTGCGTGCTCTCCGCTTCAGCTGCCTGGGGTTCACAGGGTTCGGATCCTGGGTGTGCACTGATGCATCGCTTGTCAAGCCATGCTGTGGTGGCGTCCCATATAGAGGAAGATGGGCACGGATGTTAGCCTAGGGCCAGTCTTCCTCAGCAAAAAGAGGAGGATTGGCATCGGATGTTAGCTCAGGGCTAATCTTCCTCACAAAAAAAAAAAAAAAAGAAAGGAAAAGGATGCAGATGCAGTTAATATCTGTGCCTGCTACATGTCAGGTACTGTTCTAGACTTTTTCTAATTGTTTTGTTTTTTCTAATTGAATTCTCACAAAAATCCATTTTAAAAAATGAGGAAACTTGGTTGAGTGACTTGTCCAAAGTTCCACAGCTAATAAAAATGGCCGAGGTATGTTTCTCTGCTGGGCCCTCTGGTATCCAGCCTTGTGTTCACACTGAGTGCTGCAGAAAACATCAGAAGAATCTTTTGGTTAGAAAAAGTGATATAATTAAAAATTTTAATGTATGTCTGCACAACTGATCAGACTGTGTAGGCTGCCACTTCACTGGTTTAACGAAGGAGTTTGAAGAAACAAATTACGTCATTACTTATGATGGTAGCCCACCCCAATGATGGTGTACATACGCAGATAAATTAGAAGATATCTATAAGAGCATTAAAAATAAGTGCGCCATTGTAGAATATCATGACAACTCGATGTAAAATAGTGAAAAGAGACCAGAAGCCAAATATCTCACAATTTCCTCCTCAAAATGCCTATAATTTCACTGAAAAAAAGAACAAAAACAGGTGCTGGGATTGACAACCACTGTTTTATATCATCCTTAAAAACTCAGAATAACTAACTGACTTTTTAAATTAAATAATACATAGCATACAATAGGTTTCCCCGTTGGAAAGATAAGTGTTATAAAAATAAACAATTATTTGTTACCATCTACCTAATGATGAGTCAGCATCTTTGCCTCAAATGTAAAACTATAATCATTTGCACAATAAATTGGTAGACCTAGCCAAAAATGTTCTCAAGAGACATTCTGTGGTAGGTCTAATTAATTACTCCGAGAGTTGAGCTTACTCTCAGCGTAGCACACTGTCATCTCATTGGTTTAATATGCTGTTTAAATGTGCCTTAGCCGCACATTCCCTCAATAGAAAAGAAGTACTTTAAACTGCCAATCCATGTGTTGAGCGGAAGGGAAACAGGTCCACATATTCCAATAATTATGTCAGCAACATAACAGTTCCATCACAGGAGCATGGATGCAACCCAGGGGAAAAAACAATGTGATATTTGTGAAAAGAAACATTCTGCTTAGCTGCATGAGTGAATCTGTATTTCTTGTGTGAGTTTAAATTGCTAGCTTAAAAAAGCCTCATTAGAACCTGCTATTCTGAAAGATCTTAAAAAACTTCACAGAGTTCTAAGCACTCCATTAAGTGCAAATACTTTTCAGTTAAGTGAGTTTGTTTTATGTGATTCAGAATTTCAAGTGACGAGAATTTGAAAGAAGAAGAGTTGCAAAAGAAATTTTTTAAATGTAGTTTTTATGGTCATCACCATGTCCACTCAATTTTCTGTTTTTCTAAGCATACTCTAGCAATGGGATCAGGCTTTTTTTTTTTTACCCTGAGAAAGTAGTTTTAAGGTCTATTCGTCTCAATATACATTTATCTGTTAATCAGCCAGAGTTTTATTTCCATAATACCTTTCATTATCCTTTGAAGTGGTACACTGAAGTGCCTTTAGCATGCCTGGGACTGCCAAGAATCTTTCCACTCTGCTTAGTGTAAGATGACATATTTCTTAGAGACGTTTATAATCTCATATTCAGATTGTATCTGAATTTACAAAGCAAAGGATTAAATTGAGGCACTTTCAGGTAGCATTCAAGAAAAAGAAGCTGCTTCCAATTTTAATATGTTTCTGGTTAGATTATTTTATGTTTGAATTACACAGTTATAGAATTTTCTGTAACCAAAATGGCAATTTTATGTTTTCAGCCCAAATCCAATCATTGAGGCCAAAGAAATGTGTGGCTACTCTAATTTCTTAAGCAGGATTCTTTCCAGAATTAACTCAGGAGCTGTGGCTTCAGTGCCTCCATCTGCACAAAGCTTTAATGAGTATAGGCAGACCCTAACAGTATTCGCCTAATTCCTTTGATGTCTTAAGCCAATAAACACTGAGGTAGCTTTTCTCAGAGGGAAACAGATTTTATTTTCCAGGGGCTAATTAATATGCACCACCTCAGTCCCCAGAGGACCACACAGGTGCCTGTACTCTGCCATACGTCATGTGCTACATTCCAGCAAGCTCAAGAGATTAATATACAATCATTATTATGAATTATTATATTGCATTGAAGTTAATGTCGGTCTTTTGTTCTAATTAAACTACCAACTTGGCATCTGAAAGGAAGCTTAGTTAGAGAAGTGGAGTGAGAGTCTCTATTGTAATGACCTACATATATTTTTCAATCAAAATCTGTAATTATTTAATTTTCTCTCCTGCTCAGTAAGTATATAACTCTTCAACTGATTCGAAGAATCTTGATTCAATATGTCATCATGCAGATGGACACAATTTGGAGTGTTCTTTATGTTGGCAAATTGTTAGCCATTGTTGAATCATGCTTTCACTATATGCAGTAGTTTTATTCATATTAATAATTATTATTTATTTACTTTTATATCAAGCTGCTGCAAATGGGCTACCTTACTCTGAAAGTCAAAAAAAATGCTATTACCCGATAAAGTATCGATTTTATCATATCTGTTTAATGAAAAACAAACACACAAAATATTTTACTACACTATTGCAAGTTGTCTGCAGGAAGCAAAATGCCCAGATGGTTAAGTGTAGTTCATGTAATTATATTCCAAAGATGTTATAAATAATTCCACTTAGAAGCTGAGATAGGACTCTATTAGGTGAT